GACGGCCTAGAATTTTATAATGATGTAATTATGAAGATTTTCAAGAATAAAAATTATATAGTTTTTGAAGTATTAGGTTGTAAGGAAAGTTTTGCACCAATGTTAATTTTTTGTTCTAGAAAGTTCTGGAATTTTCCGGAATTTTTCTGAATATTATAATAAGTTAGTATATTGCAGAAACTTTCATCTATGAAATTTATATGCGCGCAGCTCTTTCCACTTGACATGTATGACAGCTCTGTGCGAAGAGCAATTTCAAGGCATTGTCTACTACACGTTTCTCCAAGACCGTGATGTCGCCGGAGCGACTGCCAATATTCATGCTGCGTTCAAGGAAGATGTACTGAGTAGATGGAAAATCAATTGATTTCTCAAACATTCCCAGTCTAGAGATATTTCGTTTGAAAATCAACCTCGTTCTGAACACTCGTCTGATCTGAATGATGATGATATCCGTGAAGCCCTCAAATGCAATCCGGACGCCAGCACACGTGAATTGTCAATAAAGCTTGCCTGTTGCCAAACCACCATTGTTTGACATCTGGAGGCTCTTCGTTGCAGAAAAGTTGTATCGACATTGAATCCTCACGAACTTCACCCTTGTCAGTTGACAGCAAGGGTAAATCCGGCTTAGTCTTTGCTTCTTCTTCTACGCAGGAAGGATTTTTTCTGGCATCTCGCTACTGGTGATAAAAGCTGAATTCCGTACGTTAATCGTGCAAAAACAAGTTTGGGTCCCTCGCGGAGAACCATCACCAAAAGAGCCAAAGCCTAATCTTCCCGAAAAAGAAGTATTGTTACGTTGTTGGTGGGTCATGAAAGGAGTGTTCTACTGGGAACTGCTGTCATAGTGTCATACGGTTACTGCTCAAGTATATACATTCAAACTTCAGAAATTGGCCGAATAAATTGGTGAGAAAGGCGGAAAAAAGTCTTGAGAACTGTAATCTTGGTGCAAGACTTTCCTTACAACCTAATATAAAAGCAATTCCCATTCACTTCAATAAAATTCCATCCACACAAGAACTAATATAAATCATTGCCACAATAGAATGAGATCCTTGTGATTACTATCTTATCATCTGCCAAACAAGTGCACCTATCGATTTATTTTGTGCGCGCGCATTATCATCCATTCCATAACTCACGTATAATTCCATCACTAAAAATCATGCATCCAGGTTGGTCCGAATATAGTTTGTGGCCAGTCGTATTCTCTACCACATATCCATTACTACCATTAATTTTTTTTTCGTATTGGGGAAAGGCTTGTTTCTTTGAGTCTGTCGATTTTAGGCCTTACTGTTATTCATTTCTGCTTATCACCATTACATTTTTCTCCGTTTGCGGTTTTACGGCTTATTCAATTTCCAAAAAATACGGGCAAGAAAACAAGTTAGAGTATTATGGAAAGCTTCAAAAAGTTGGATCCGGAATAATAGCTTATTTGGGAGTTTTTCTCAACATAGCTGTTTGCATGTTTGGCCAGGATGAAGGGGTAAGATCCTCATTGATTTATCTGAAACTTCAACAAACGGAATTTCAGATTTTGATAGGTGTCAACTTTTTGTATTACATCATTCTTGTAGCTGTCATGTTCATGTTCATCCTGTTTTTGGGTGAAGATCTAACTATGGATGTAGATATACACAAGAAAAATCTGAAATTAGTTGTATTTTTCCAAATTGTTGGATCTCTTGTTTTACTTGTTTCGACATGTTATGTTAGCACTTGGAAGGAAATAACATCGATTGGATTGAGTCAGCTGAACATGATCATAACCTCTTCGTGGTTTTTCGCTGAATTTTTGACAGCTAATGAAAGTGAATTCGGATGGAACGAAAATCCAGTCGAGAGAATATATGAAGAAGACGATGAAGATTCAGAATCTTCTGACTCAGATTCAAGCGTGGAAGATACAATGGAGCCAGTGACAGAGTAGCTTTCTTCCTTCATAATTTCTCCTAATCTTGATTTTCAGACTAAGCGTTTTAACCTGTAAAATTTGTCTTCGTGGGTTCAGTGAAAACTTGAAAAAGAGAGCCCCACTTATGCTGAGCTGTGGTCATACATTGTGTTGGAAGTGTTGTAAAGAATTGAAGAAACAAAATTTATACATGCATGTTACCTGCCCATTTTGCAGAAAAGAGACTTTTGGTAAGTTTCATTCCAAATTTGGGGGAAGGCTTCACCTGATTTTTTACAGGCTCACTAGAAAAACTCCCGAAGAATTATGCTATAATCGAGATGATTCAGATGAAAAACCAAGGAAGACTATTAGAAATTTAAATAAGTTTCAAAAGATCAGACATTTTTTTCTATATTTCTTGTTTCACTTAATTTTACAATAATACAATTTTTATATTATCGAAGAATAAAAAAATTCCATTTACTCGATTAAAGTTCCATCCATACAAGAACCAACACAAATCATTGCCATAATTGAATGTGACCTTCGAGATTACCATCTGACCATCTGTTCATCAGGTGAACCTATTGATTCATTTTGTACACCTAACCCATCATCCATTCCATAACTCTAGTTGAATTTCGTAACTAGAAATTATGCATGAAGGTTGGAGGGAATATAGTGAGCATTGGATTCCACTCGTGGCTTCATATTCGATTCTTTCTATACTTCCCTTTTTAATCTGGGGGATAGGCCGTTCCCATAGGTCTGTCGATTTTGAGCCATACTGGTACTCATTTCTGCTTATTACCCTCACATGTTTCATCATTTCTTGTAAGATTGCTCATTCAATCACCAAGAAATATGGACAACGAAGTAAATTAGAATATTACGGAAAATACCAAAAAATTGGGTCAGGAATTATCACATTTTTAGGAGTGTTTCTCAATTTAGTACTTTGTATTTTTGGCAAAAATGAAGGGGTGAGTTTTTTTTGTTTTCACATAATGAGTTAAGAAGATTGTTTCAGATTTTCGTTGGTGTCAACTTTCTGTTTAGTACTATTTCTGCAACTGTTGTGTGGCTGTTGATTATCGGTGTAGCTGATGATATAACTATGGACGTATCGATACATGAGAAGAATCTGAAATCAGTTGTCTATTATCAGATTTCAGGAATTCTCATTCTACCTATTCTAACAATTTTTCATAGAACTTGGGCTGAAATGGCATTAATTGGACTGGGCCAGCTGAACTTCATGCTTATCTCGTCATGGTCAATGGCTGACTATCTGACACTTAATGAAAGTGAATTAGGGTTACGCCAGAGGAATAACCCAATCGGAAGAAGAGACGAAGAAGACGATGAGGATTTAGAGTTGTCTGGTTCAGACTCAGAAGTGTCTGGTTCAGAATCAAGTGTAGAAGAAACGATGGAGGCAGTGTAAGAGTGAAGTTTCCGGTCTCTCAATACTCAGATTTTCAGGCAAAACGTCACAACTTGTAAAATTTGTCTTCATAGATTCAGTGAGAACTCCAAGAGAAAAACCCCACTGATTCTCGTCAAATGTGGCCACACATTATGCTGGAAATGTTGTGCATTAATCAAGAAACAAAATTATAATTTTGGTATTCCTTGTCCATTTTGTAGACAAGTGACGTATATTGGTAAGTGCTTCTAGTCGTAAATGTCCAACTGGGCCCTGCGCGCGCCACTTTCTTAAAAATCTAAATTGTGGGCTCCAAGAAAATATCAAACTGTAGATCTCGGGGGGTCTGAAAAATTAGAATGACTGTTCGACCAACCCGGACCTCACGGGACAGGAAAAATCCGGGCCGGGTTCGTGGGCCCGGGCACTCTAGCCTAAACGGTGACTGTCAGTTTTTAGACTTATGGAACTCACCGATCTTCTTATGGAACCCACCGATCTTCATTTTGATATGTTTTTCAGCTCAGAATTGCGATTTTGAAAAAAGTTATTGCAAGACCCGCACCGGTTGCGGTTGGACAATAGAACATGTATTCAAAAAGCATTCATTTAACTAATCATTTTTTATAGGCTCACTCAAACAACTACCGAAAAATTATGCTATCATCGAAATGGTCCAGAGGCCGTGACCATGATTATTTACCTTTGAATGGTACATTTGAAAAAATTGAATAAATCATTTTCTTGATTACTGTAGTTTTCAAAATTAGGTCAACTTCAATAAAACACTCTGACCTACTCATCAGAAACTAGTCATTCGTTCTAGAACATCTCACTCAGACTACAACTGCCAAGCTACAACATCCTCTAATCCTCTCTGTCTCGCACACTCTCTCAACTCCGCTTTGAGTAAACTGTAATGTTTCAGAGTTGTATAATGGGGAGAGAGACTCGACCAGCGGAGCAGTGTATCCAAATATTTGTGCCCATTTGTCGCAAGAAGAGTGCGCTCTGAGCTCTTTGCTCTCCCTCCGGAGCAAGTTTCTTTCCTTCCCATCACTTTTCTTTTTACGTTGTTTGTAGGGTTGCCATTTGGTTTTCTTGGGGAGTTTCAGCAAATTTTCAGAAGTTTTTCTCCCAAATTTGGCTCTTGTGCTATGGCTCTGGTGCTATGATTTTGGATCAAGTGCTATGAAAGTAGGAATCATTGCACCAGAGCCAAAAAAAAACGGCCGAAATGGCTGAAGAGCCATAGCAGAAGAGGCAAATTTTTAGGAAATTGACATATAGCACTTGATCACTTCATAGCAGTTAAGTATCTATCTCCCCAACTCCTCTACTCCTATTCAATTTCCTCCATTGGCACGAAGCCAATTGTGCCCTCTCCTCTTCCTCCAACTACAAACCACACATTTCTAAACTCTGGTTTTCCGTGCATCTCCATGACGCCGAGACTCATCCTCCCCTATATATTTCTCTATGTTTCTTCTCCTTTTTCCGTGACCACCCGTTTAATGTTTTTGTGCTCTTTTTAGTGCATTTTGTTTTTCGGAGAGCCCAAAAAAGTGTGTCTGTGCCACAGAACTTGTGGTTCAGGGTGTACGAATTGGTGCCCAGATTTAGAAGAAGGCTTAATGATGAAGAAAAAAAAACAAAAAGAACTGACACCAGGCGGGTTCGAACCTGAGACCGTCTGGTTGACCACCAACAGCGCTACCGCCTGCGCCATGCTAACTTCCACCGCAGCGTCCCGCATAGTGCAGCAGGTAGCGCGTTTGCCCCCGACCAGCAACCCCTGGGTTCGAACCTATCCGGATCCCAAAATTTTTGTTTTTTAAGTAAACTGTAACCCTGACAATAAGACACCAGGAAAACATGTTTTGTTTCTTCATCCTACTTTTTTTCTAGAAAAATCTTTTTCTTGTAAACTCCAAAAACCCTATTTGCTCACTTATATTGTTATCCTAAACAAGTTTCTCTTTTCCTTCAATTTTCATTTTTCTTGCCTTTTTCCCCTTCTTGAACATTATTTACCAACACGTGTGTACCTAGTGCGGTTATCACTTTTGCCATCATTTCTTTTCTACAATAAAAGTGCCTGCTGATGAGTCATTTTGTGCTTATATGGAGTATTCTTAAAGGAGGGAAAAGGAAAAAAGTGTTTAGTTTCATAACTGTGATTTAAAATTCTTTTATTTAGTCATTTGAAATTCATTGGGTCCTTTTTCTGGTTTTTTCAGTTTTTTTTCGTTTTTTTCGTTTTTTTCCGGTCATTTTTTCCGATGAAAACCGATAAAAACTGTCTTTGAAAAACTCCAAAACCCCCTTGAAATTAGTCACGTGACCCCAGAAATGTGGAAACACGTTTTCCAAATTTTTGATCCCATCTGATTTTTTTTCTTGGATTTTCTGGATTTTGCGTCTACTCCTCTCCGAATCTGGTAGATACTCAAGTGCTATGGGATGCTAAAGTGCTATTTTGGCTGATGTGCTATGGCCTGAGACATGGCCAAATAGCACTTGATCACCCCATAGTAATTGAGTATTTGTCTCCAAATCCCCAGCTCAACTAGCCCAAATTTTCAGTTCGAAATTCCAGATGACTGCTGAGGTGGCGAGCCGAAGCTCGGCGTTCCGATTCCTGCACAAATTACCGATCCGATTGACTTTCACCGAGAAGAAATCGCCACTTTTGATTAGCGATTTGGCAAAAGAGAATGAGTAAGTTTTCTTATCTTCTCCTGCAATTTCTTATCAGTAGAGCGAGCTAAACTATGCGATGATACACTCTATATGGATTTCGAAATAGTTGGTTTACTTTAATAGAAGGGCAGGGGGGGGGGGATAATGGCAAATTTGACGGAAAATAGTTTGTGCAAAAATCAAAAAATCAGAACGGACTTCGTAGCTGCTTTGTGTTTTGTGAGCAAATAGTAGCAGTTTCTTTGTGTCTGTTGGTTTTTTTATATCGAAATATCATTATTTGTTTATTTATTTAATAATTGACTCATTAGTGCAAATTGATAGGGGGAGTCTAGGAAAGTTTTAGGCTAAAGATACCGTGAGCCCTATGGTAGTTCGGAGCGCCATACCTCGGTTGTCTTTAGAGATATCAAAAAGTGGTCAACTAAAAAAATTTTTCTTAGTAGAATTTGAACATTTTGTCAATCGGAACTTTTTTGATAGCTCTAAAGGCAACTGAGATATACTGATTTGAACGAGCAGTAGTCTGAAAGGAAGGGACAGAGAGGGGCAGAGACGCAGAGGGTCTGGTTTCTCTGACTCTAGCTGGAATGCTTCTCAGACTTTGAAGAGGTATATCTCGGTTACTTTCAAAGCTATCGAAAAGTTGTCAACTAACAAAATGTTCATTATTTGATTTCAATCATTTTGTCAATTGGAATTTTTTTGATAGCTCTAAACGCAACCGAGATATACTAATTTGAACGAGCAGTAGCCTGAAGCGAGAGGGCAGAGAGAGAGGCAGAAACACAGAAGGTCTGGTTTCTCAGACTCTAGCTGGAAGGATGATCTGAGTTTATATCTCGGTTGTCTTCAGAGATATCAGAAAGGTTCCAACTGATGAAATGTATAAAATGAACTGGTGAACATTTCTTTAGTTGATCACTTTTTGGAATATCCAAAGGCAACCGAGATATAATCAAAAAACTCATTTCGAGCACAGAACACGGAAACCACATGTAACGCACCGCCTATTTCATGTGGCCTTACCCTCTTCCGATTCCGTGTCCGTTTTCCTAACGTCAAACCCGTGTAGTTCTCTTCTCTCCCCCATTAATTGATAAGGCTCACACGCACTTTTCTTTCATTTACTCTCGTTTTCTGCAAAATGTCTCGACGCGCCGACTCTCTGTGTCTAGATGAGTACTTGAGCAGGTTTTCCCCGTTGTTTTGAACAAACGATTCATCAAAAATGAAGGTTTTAGCGAACTAAAAAAGCGAACACATATTCTGGAATGCGCGTGGAATCAGGAGCACGACGATGAGGAGGAGGAAGAGGAAGTGACAGAAAATGGAGTTGGGGATGGAGAGGAGGAGACGGATTCCAATCATGATATCTATGGAGATATTGGGAATCGGGCGCCTAATGAGTTTGAGAAGGTAGGTGTTTTTGTGGAGGGGAAATTTGAATTTTGAATGTTTTCAGATCGGTCGATTCACAACATTCAAAGTGTACATCGCTTGGTTGGCCCTTTTCGTTTTTGCACATATTCGAGAATATGTGACACGATTCGGGTTTGTGAAGGATTTGTCGAGCAAGGAAAATAAGAAGTTGAAGGTGAGCAATTCGGTCTGAGCTAGAGTTAGAGAAACCAGACACCCTGCGTCCCTGCCCTTCTCAGCCTCTTCTGGGTACTACTGTTTGTTCAAATCAGTATATCTCAGTTGTCTTTGGAGCTACCAAAATGTGGTCAACTAGAGAGTTGTTCAAAATTGAATTTTGAACATTTCATCAGTTGAAATTTTTTTGATAACTCTAAAGGCAACGAAGATATGCAGCTTTGAAGTTGGACCATCATTCCAGCTAGAAACAGAGAAACCAGACACTCTGCGTGTCTGCCGCTCTCTGTCTCCTAGCTTCGGGAGGTGCTGCATGTTCAAATCAGTATATCTCAGTTGTCTTTAGAGCTATCGAAAAATTTTCAACTGACAAAATGATTAAAATAAAATAATGAACATTTTTTTAGTTGATCACTTCTTGATAGGTCTAACGACAACCGAGATATAGTGCTCTAAAGTTATAATATCGTTCCAACTAGAAGATTCCAGCTAGAGGCAGAGAAACCAGACACAAAGAATCAGGGTTCCAATCAGTTCAACTATTGCACCTAACTTCCTGTTTATCGTGTTTTCCACCTAGATTCTAGTGCCAACCACTCCCCAACCAACCTATCGCAAAGTACACCCAAAACTCTTATCACCTCATCATTCGATCTCTCGAAATTTCCAGGACTTCGTGCCATTGTTCAGCGACTTCGAGGCATTTTATCAGAGAAATTGCTACATCAAAGTTCGAGACGTGTTCGAGCGACCGATTTGCAGTGTACCAGGTGCCACCGTTGACCTAGTCGATCGAGTTTCTCACGATGGAAACTGGACGTATGAATACCCGGGAACCCGTACGAATGTTATCAATGTGGGGTCCTATAACTACTTGGGATTCGCTCAATCCGCTGGACCATGTGCCGATCAATCAGCTGCCAGTATCGACAAGGAAGGCCTCTCCTGTTGTACAACTGTCCATGAAAGAGGGAGAAGTGTGTCACAAGCGAAACTGGAGAAACTTGTCGCTGAATTCTTGGGAGTGGATGATGCCATTTGTTTTAGTATGGGATTTGCCACCAACTCAATGAATGCACCATGTCTCGTGGATAAACATTCTTTGATCATTTCTGATAAGTACAATCATGCTTCCCTGATCCTTGGATGTAGACTCTCGGGAGCTTCTACCAAGGTTTTCGAGCATAATGACATGGAATCCCTGGAAAAAATCCTCCGTGACGCCATCGCCTACGGTAACCCTAAGACTCATCGTCCTTACAAGAAGATTCTGATCATCGTCGAGGGAATCTACTCCATGGAAGGATCCATTTGCAATCTCCCTGGAATCATTGCTCTCAAGAAGAAGTATAAGGCTTACCTCTACCTAGATGAGGCTCACTCCATCGGAGCAATGGGAAAAACTGGAAAAGGGGTCGTCGAGTACTGGGGTTGTGATCCGAAAGATGTGGATATTCTGATGGGAACCTTCACAAAATCATTCGGAGCCGCTGGAGGATACATCGCCGGATCCAAGCGTACAGTAGATCATCTTAGAGTTGCCAGTCCCACCGGTTACTACTCCTCTCCAATGTCGCCACCAATCGCTCAACAAATCTATACGTCAATGTCTATCATCATGGGAAGAGATGGTACCAATGATGGAGCTCAACGAATCGAACGACTTGCTCGTAACTCTCATTACTTCCGAATGAAGCTGAAGCAAATGGGATTCATTGTCTATGGAAGTAATGATTCTCCGGTTGTCCCCATGCTCATCTACTTCCCAACAATGTGTGGATTCTATGGAAGGCAAATGTTGGAGAGAAGCATCGGATGTGTCGTTGTCTCATTCCCCGCGACACATATGACAGAAGGAAGAGTCAGATTCTGTATCTCGGCGGCGCATACCAAGGAGCAACTTGATTATGTGAGTTTGAATTCTAAAAAAAAAATGAATTGACCCCTACCGGAATTGAACCCGGATCCAACATTTTGTGGAACAACTGCGTTAACCACAAGGCCACATATGCAACAGCCCCCGCACTCAAAGAGGGAAACTAAAAACACGCTATTTTTCCAGGTCCTCGCCACAGTCGACGAGCTCGGATCGATGAGTCGCAGCAAGTTCTCCCGACGATCACATTTGTACAAAAACCAAAAAATCGAATGGTAGAAAAGCCATTCCTCATTCAACACGGGCATTTTTTTCACTTCTCAAACAATTTTCGTATTTTTTTTGTCAATAGAAATTAATTAATTATCAGCAGTTTTTGTTTTTTTTTGTTATGCACATAAAGAGTTCTGATCACTTTTTTTTGAATCCATCAAGAATGAGAGAGAGTAAGAGACGCAGCAAGGCAGACAGAGTATTCTTGTTGTCTTGCACCAGTTGCCACAGTGTAGTCGCCAATATGTTTAGACGTCTATTTTCTACGACAGCCAAAATGGCTG